CACCACTTCACACTCTTAACGTTTGTAATCATCATATTCGTTTTTCTTTCTCCTGTAATTGTTTGAAAGTGATTTTCCGCAAATTTTAATGTAAACTTGTTAATTTGTGTGCAAAATGAAAGTGTATATAGAAAATCTAGATATCATACAAAATAGAAAGCAAATACCTTCATCCATGCAAAGTAAACATGCATCACACATGTCACACAATAAGAAAATATCGAACTCATCTTTACTGACCTGAAGCTTCATCGAGGTGTTGGCAGAAGCTTTCTTATCCTTAGACACATTTTGACTGGAAAATCCCTTTTTTCCTTCAGTGACACTCTTACTTGACAAGTTACCAAGGCTGGTAGAAGTTTTCTTCAAAGTCACGCCTGGCAGCTTGTTTCCGCCTTTTGCATGAAGCGTTTTCTTTTGAGGTTCTGCTTCTGCAGCTGTGATGGCATGTTCAGCACGCTTTGATTTTGAGTCGGTCTTTAAAGGCGCTAGTTTCTTGGGAGCATTTCCTGTCCTACCTGTCATAGGTTTGGAACTTTTCTTGCCAATGGCAGCAGTACCAGTCGCTGATTTTGCCAAAGCATTCAAAGACAAAGAGCGATTCGATCTTGTTTGGCCAATCCCGGAAGTACTAGCTTTAGGCACGGCACCAACTGAACGCGATTGTCCCAAGATAGGTGCATTATTGTTTTTTTGAATTCGAGATGGTTTAGCTTTGACCGTGACAGTACCAACTGAGCGCGATTTTCCCTGGATGGGTGCATTGGAGCTTTTTTTATTTCGAGGTGGTTGAGATTTGGCCGCGATGGTCCCGACTGAGCGCGACTGTCCAAGTTTTTCAGTTGCGCGCTCAGTTTTTGTTTTCTTGACTAATGCTTTTGGTATTGATTGAAGAAGTTGAAGTCTTTTGAGTCTGAGAGCAAAACCGTCAAACGAATAACAGTTATGTTACATTGATATTACGTATCAATAAAATATATTAGATATTTACACTAACTAGGGTTCTGTTAACTAACCTTTGGGATTGGTATCGCCTTTCCTCTTACAATTAGTTCCTCGTCAGACTCTTCTTTCTCATTACTTGGTTTTTCAGTTTCATCCTTTGACTTGGCATGTTCATTGCCATCCTCAGTTATGTTGGTGTCAAAAACACTTTGAATAACCGCATTACTTTCACTGGTAATATCGCGGGTGGCGATATCTATAGCCTGAGCAGAAAGGATTCTAGCAAGCCTTGTCACGGTTTGGTCACTATCGCTTGATTTAAACGAAATATTTTCGTCCTGAGCGCTGCGAGTCGAAAACACTCCTCTCAAATCATTTACTGTTGAAGAGCTCTCGCTTGTATCAGACGCAAAAGCCGATTCAACAGGTAATCCCATTTCCAATGACGCCTCTGCTATAGCCTGCACAGAAAGACACTTGGCTAGACTATTCACAGCATCCTCAATGTTATTAGCTGGCTCGAGAGGTGCCACAATAGCTGGTTCACCCACATGAGGCAGCCCAAGTGCTTTGTTAGGTACGGCTTCCGCAATAACTTGGATATCACGCTCAGCTTCAGAGACCGATTTCTCTTCCTCTATCAATGCTTCCCTGATAGCCTGAAGAGCAAGAAGCGAAGCCGCCTTCTCTATATCAAGTACGAGTGTAGACATGGAGTTGCCTCTTTGATGCTGTGGCTGTTCTTGAGAAGTGGGGTCAGACACCGAGGTGCTTTGGGCATCGTTTGGCTCACAGCTGGGATAAACCAAGTCATCGGATGGCACCCGAGCTTCCTCATAGCCCTCTTTTTGCTCATCGGCATCATCAAAAACTCCTCGTTCTTCATTTAACTGAGGCTCGCATGCAATTTGAGAGGCCAGAGTTTGAGGCTCTTCAGGCGTCTGCATGATGTGTGTCTCTTCGGCAAATAGACACTTGTCGTCGTACATTGAAGATCCCTCTGCAAGTGGTGGTTGTGCCTCTTCTGTTCTCATAGGAGCAGCCATTGTCTCATCGAGAGCATTGGCAAGTATGTTATCGATGCTTTGTGACGAGACATTTGGTTCAGCAAAGCAATCGTTACTAGCTTGAGAGCTTTCTGCAAACGAAGGCTCTGGATTAGAATCCAAAGCTTCTGACATATCTGAGACAGATTCCGATGCCTCTGGAGCAGCTCGAGTGTCCTCTTTGGATAAGCTAGTTGGCGCCGGATCTGCCGCTACTTCAGGAGCGGCGGTATCACTTTTGTCCTCAACTCCGAGGCTGTTGGAGCTGACAGTGGTAGCTAGTCGAATACCTGACCGCCTTTTTATGTTAGGAGATGAAACTTTCTTTCCAGTTGGTGGTCTTGGAATGTGAACACTCCCAGTCGATGCATTAGCTGGTACAGGGTCAACTTGCAGGTCACTTTGAGTATCATCTTTGCGGCTTAGTGAAGCTGCCAGCCTAACACCTGATCTTCGTCTAAGTGTTGGAGATGATGGTTTCTTGCCCAAAGGAGGAGTTGGAATGGAAAAAGATTGGGCAGACAATCTGAAAGTACAAACAACAAACATCATGTTATTTTTGTATAATCAATTGGCTTCACCGCGCCACATGGAGGTAAATGAAAAGTGAATTTTAAAATAAGTTTCAAGAAAAGACACAACGCATTTAACTTTTGCAGACATGTTCAGCACTATCATTTCATCGTTGCAAGAAAAATGTCTGCAAATGTGCTATTAAGTGTGTTATGTCTTTTTCAATCTTCCATTCTTGTCTCATTCTTCAATCACTTTTCTCTACTTGCCTCAAATTCCCTCCCTCTTTTCTCCTCGACTCACCCTTCTATTCCTCTTCCCTCCTTTCCTCTTACGTGTCTAGTCGTTCTAGCGCTTTCGCACTAATTGGGGACACTTTTCACTTACACACATTACCACTACATTCAATATTCTATGCACACAATGCTCAACTCATAAGTTGATTTTTAAGGGAGGAAACTGGAGAACACCCTCGTAGTATAGGAAAGAACAACATATCAAACAAACTCAATTCACATGTGGCGACAGCAGGGCTCGAACCAGCGACCCGACGATTGGGCTCGCTGCGGTGAAAGACGACGCGTTAGCCGCGAACGCCACCCATGCTACCTATCACTCTTCCCTCCTTGCCTCACGCTTCCATCACTCTTCTTTCCTTTCCTCATCCTTCCATCCCTCTTCCCTCCTTGCCTCATCCTTGCCTCCCTCTTCCTTCCTTGCCTTATCCTTCCCTCCCTCTTCACCCTTCCCTCTCTCTTTAACTCACCATTCCCTTCCTCTTTCCACCTTGCCACACCCTTGCGTCACTCTTTCCTCCTTGCCTTATCCTTCCATCCCTCTTCTATTATTGAATCATCCTTCGATCCCTCTTCCCTCCTTGCCTCAGCCTTCCATCCCTCTTCCTTCCATGCCTTATCCTTCCATCCCTCTTCTCTCTTTGCCTCACCCTTCCCTCCCTCTTCCCTGATTGCCTCATCCTTCCATCCCTCGTCACTCCTTGCTTCACTCTTCCCTCTCTCTTTAACTCACCCTCCCCTTCCTCTTTCCACCTTGCCACACCCTTACATCACTCTTCCCTCCTTGCTTTACCCTTCCCTCCCTCTTCCTTCCTTGCCTTATCCTTCCATCCTTCTTCTCTCCTTGCTCACCCTTCTCTCTTTCTTTAACTCACCCTTCCCTTCCTCTTTTCACCTTGCCACGCTCTTACATCACTCTTCCCTCCTTGCTTTATCCTTCCACACCTCTTCCATTATTGAATCATCCTTCGATCCCTCTTCCCTCCTTCCCTCACCCATACATCACTCTTTCTTCCTTGCCTCATCCTTCCATCCCTCTTCTTTCCTTGCCTCATTCTTCCATCCGTCTTCTTTCCTTGCCTCACCCTTCCATCCCTCTTCCTTCCTTGCCTTATCCTCCCATTACTCTTCCTTCCTTGCCTCATCCTTCCATCCCTCTTCTTTCCTTGCCTCATCCTTGCCTCCCTCTTCCTTCCTTGCCTTATCCCCCCATTACTCTTCTTTCATTGCCTTACCCTTCCCTTCCTCTTCCCCCACCCTTCCAACACTTTTATTTCTTAGTTTCACTAACTATAAATGCATGATGTTAATCCCTCTAAAGAAAGTTTAATTTTACCTTATTTCGCCTGAATCGTTGTCAGACCCGTTCACTTCTGTATATGAAGAAACTTTGATAGGTTTCTTAACCTATAGAAAGAATAAAAGATGAAAAGATATACAAAATTAAAAGGATCAAACTTCCAGTTTTTGAAGAGAAGCAATTTTCAACTTTTTAATAAAAAAAGAAACAAACAAACGAAAAAAACTTGGAAAAACGCTTACCGTTATAAGGCGGAATTTGTTCTGATCGGTCTCATTTGGTTCTTGGACTTCTCCTGAAAATAAGCAAAAATGTCTAAGAATTGCTTTTGAAATTCCTAAAAATTGGTTTACGGAAAAAATGTCAAAAACAATTCACGCTCTTTAAACTTTTTTTCTAACTTGTTCTCAATTAGATACAATGGTATATCGTACCTGCTTTCGAACTGCAGCAGCCCATGGTTAAAATCCTAATAAACGCTGTTGAAAAACTCGTCGATAAATCACTATTCTCTATCAAACTTTTGTCAAAAACGACTCGCAAGAAGAAAATAGAATAACTGAAGATTTGATTGCGCGCGCGCTTTTATACCATGATCATTATGACGTCACAGTTCGATTATCCATATTTGGTATTATCAATCATTTAAAAGCTGCTAATAGATAATTATTTTAATAATTATTATAATTACGCATGTCAAATTGAGTGTTAATTGTATAATTAAATGATGACGCAATAGATTTTAATTGGTATTGTAATGAAATTGAATTGAAAAGAATCGAGGCGGATTGTTCGGATGTAAAATATGGCAATTATGGAAATATTAAAATGATGCCACTAAAATGTTCAGATTTTCTTTTTTTTGAATTATATTAATAAAGATGAACTGTCACCGTACTCACTGCAGATGAACATAATTATTTTAGCATAGGATAATTACTTCTGCTTCCTTAAAAGAAAAAACGCGCATTGCGCGCTTTAAAATACGGGCCAGTAGTGTTATCTGCATGCATCGTGTATTAGAATCAGTTGCAGAGTTTCGAAGTAGCATTTCAGTAAAACTAAATCTCTTCTTGTTGGTAATGCTACGAATAAGGAGATTCTTTGATATTAATTTGATTATAAAACATTGCGACAATCAATTAAAATTGAACTCGGTAAAAAACTAAAAATATATATGTACAAAGGTAAGTAGTGGACGTTTTGACGTTGATTCAAAATAATAATTAATATATATATAATGTAAGTACCTAAGGGGAAAATATAAACAGTAAAATAGATTCGCAGCGTAACATTTAAACATCTAGTCAACATTAACTACACATGCGAAGTTCGGAATTCTCAGTAAGCCATCATAGAAATAGAATTTATAAGTGGCCAAATGACATTAATTCGTAAATTTCAAGAAAATGGGTATAATAAGTTTGGTGCCCAAAATGCGCCAACTAAAGGTATGAACACTGTACGGCTGATACCCCAAAAATATTGAATTAATTTTTTGTTCGCCAATTAGAAAAAAAAGTTGCGTAGAGATTGGTCTAAAGTTATTTATTATCTATAATTGTAATAAAATAATAATTTGCTAATATCGAATTCATCAAAATAAACCTGAATGTTGTCATAGTTATACCAGGGAAAGTTCTACCTAGTGCACAAACCATTCTTTTGTTTTGAATTGCTTCATTGTTGGTGGTGTTTTGTACTAGTTATTTAGTACTATTTCACGGATACATGTATACTATGCATCAAGAGTTCTGCACTACAGCTCTAAGTGCATGCTCAAGGGGTCAAAAAGTGGGATCACGAGTTGTAAAAATTGGTATATTTTTGGATACTTGATTTATAAATTAGCTTAACGCTACTTGCTCTGGAATACTTAATAAAAATTTTGCTTGAAAAAAAAAACAAAAAACAAAACAATTAAGATAGCAATTTTTTATAACTCATGACCCCTTGAGCATGGACTTAGAGCAGTAGTGCAGAACTCTTGATGCATGTATATGGTTTGCACTCTACTAACTGATGTAAGACAACTAAAGATGCACTAAATAAATGTTGAATTCTCTCTCATTACTCTACAATAATTCCTAATAATGCATATTTCCCTCGCACACGTCACATTGCTATACTAGCCTGCCTGTATTGTGCTGCTCCAAGAAACTCTTAACTGTAGGCTGCAAGATCTGGGAAGGTAAACAATGGCAATAGCATTATTAATCACATACTATATCCTTGCAAAATTATATTCGACTTGATGCATCACTTCTTGCTATGCAAAACAAACTAGAGTGATTTTACTTGGCCTGTGAAACAAAGTTGTATAATCAGTGACTGACAGTCCAAGTAAAACAAAAGAAAACAATGGAATTTGTGTCTATCACTATCAGGGTTCGTGCTGAGGTAACCACTTAAAATTCAAGGACTATTCAAGGAGTATACAAGGACCCAAAAATGAATTTTCAAGGAGTATGTTCAGCTAACTATGTCAAGTTTTTACACAGTGGTTGCACATGGCCGACTTTCAGATTTTCCGATCTTTCTGACTAGATCTATTTCAGAACCATGCAAGTAATAATCAAAGCAAAAATTTAAGGAGTTTTCAAGGAGTTTCTCCAAAATCGTAAAACTCAAGAGCTTTTTAAGTTCCCTTGAAAACGTGAATTAAATTCAAGGAGTTTTCGAGGAGTTTAAGGAGTAGCACGAACCCTGTACTATGTATTATGTTGACTCTTCTTCCATATGCATATAATTACATGCATTATAAAAAGATCACTCAGATCTTCCCTAATAACAGTTTACCTTCGCTTGTTGCTATGCAAGCAAGGAATAATCATTGATAATTAACTCTTATACTCAATTTTGTTGCTATAAACTTCTTCTTTTGGTTGTAATTGCTTGACATCTTAAAATTGGATTTTCAATTTGGTGAATATTTTTTAAACAATAGCCTATAATTATTAACATTTATATATATTTTAAAGAATTTATAGCACATAAAAACTGCCTTCATCTGTTTTGGAGAAGAAAGAAAATGAAAGGGATCTACTGGAGCTTAAAACAGATCAAGGTTGTCATCTTGTTGTTCAGTGTTAAGCTGGATGTAGCTTGAGATGTCATTCACATCCATTTCTGCAAGCTTCTTGTTTGAAGAAGTTGGCTTGAACAGGTCATCGTCATCTTCTTCTGCAGCTGGAAAGACTGATTTTGATGCAGAACTTTTGAAAATATCATCAAGAGATTCTTCTTCATGAGAAGGCTTCCTGGAATAACACAAGAGAGGGTTTATAGCAGTCCTGTATCACTTAGAGACGATAAACATAGAGGGCCACAAGTTTATCAGTGCTAAGTTGGCAACTGTCACATACACCCTATCTACACAAAGACATTATATTATATAATTCAATAACTGACCTGAGAGAGCCCTTCCTGGGAGTAAACAATTCCTCTTCCTTACGCTTTCCTGCCACATCATCTGATGGTTTAAACAGGTCATCATTACCTGTGGTCTCTTCAAATTGTGGCTTTGCTGCTGGTTTGGGTTTTAGCTCAGGTTTTGGTTTGATACGAGGCTTGGGGACAGGTTTTTTAGGCAGTGCTGGTTTCTTTGGTTTGGCTGGTTTGTTACTCATGAGAAGCTTGTCTAAGTCATCTTCTATGCTGAAATTCAAAATATGCATTGATAGTCACAATGGTTTAAAGGCAGCCATGTTGTGGGACAAAATACTAGAAAATCTCTCCTCATGGAAAAATTGAAGAATATTTCTTTCTCTAAATTTCTCCTCGTCCTGCAAAAAACATTGAGTGCTTCTGCCTTCAACATGTCTGCCACGACAACACTCTATTATACATTCTCAGCTTATCTGAGTGCAGAGGGAAGGAGTGGGATCAGGGTGCCAAAGTGGTAGTATGCCCAACTTTCACCTGATAGGTCACTGGTTAGATTCAAAGACTTATTATCATATGTGAGAATTTGTTAGGTCACTTCCCTTGATTAGAGGGTCTTCACTGGGTTCTCTGGTTTCCTACCCCCCCTCAAAAAAAACCTTAATCAGCAAAGTGCAATTCGATCAGTGAGTTAGCTGTACCCTAACTTTGGTCAGTCCAATCCTCAGTCCAATGGTTTTTTAAGGAATCATAGATCACTGAATGAATGGCTAATGTACATGTAAGAAAGCTAATTTGGGTGGCCAAGGTAACAAAATTGCTTCACACTGTAAATTTGCAATGATTTACATTAAAGTTGCAGCTATGTTATGCTTTGACACTTACTTTAAGAGATCAGAATTATTTTCTGTTTCCATGACAACATGCTTTTTCTGTATTGCACCAGCTGGTATAAACAGGTCCCCAATATCATCATCATTATCATCCTTCCCAACATCAAATATTGATGATGACCCTTGATTTAGTGGCTTGGATGAGCCTGATTTGGCCAATAACAGCAAATCATCTTTTCCTCCTGAGTCTTCTTCGTCTTTATCTTCTTCTTGTCCTGAGTCACGATCAGGTTGTTTATCAGAAGCAAACAAATCAATGTCTTCTGCAACTTCTTCACTTTCTGCTTTGGTTTCTATTGGTTCCTAAGAAATGTAAATGATAGACAAATTCATAAGGGGCAGATGCAGTAATATGAAAAAAGCGGGAGGGGGACATAAAAGTTTGGCATTAAGCAAACCTCACTGGCAATGCAAAAGAAAACTGAGGAGGTCTGGGTGCATGCTCCAAAGAAAATGCTATTTCCTGCACTTTGGTGATATTTTGGACAAATAATAATAATAATAATAATAATAATAATAATAATAATAATAA